AAAAAGTGGGGGGATTGTAACAACAAAACCAAAAAAATCCCACACCCGCGGGTGCGGTGGGAGTAATTAGGGAAATGAAAGCCAAACATCTTCAAGCTGCCAAGCTTGAGAAACACTGATCTAGAACACTGTTTTTCAAACGTGGCAATTTGAAGATGTGTGGACTCCAACTCCCAGAATTCCCCAGCCAGAATGCTCACTTACTTTGGATCTTTTAAAAACTTTTATCATTTTTACTGTGCCATTGGTAGGAAGCCTTGTTAGAATTCCACTGAGGGTGTTTCTGGCTGAACTATCATAGAACATTTTATTATACTGCCTTAAAAGCAACCTAAAAATACCTTTAAAAACTTATATATTCTTCTGGCTGGCTTGAGAACAGTTCCTGGAAATGGCAGGAATTTGCTAAGTGATATCGGTAAGTTCCCTTACCAGAGGATCTTGCAGGTTTGGACTATATGCATAACGTTCTCAAATAATTAGAGCTATAATCCAAATAATCTAATGGAAATGAAGTTGGAGAAATGTCTGACATGGTGCGTGTGTATGCTTTCCAAAAAAAAAATTGGATGTGATAACTTCATTGGAGTCAAAATAATAATTATTGAATTATTTTTATAGGAAATTAAATGAATGCTGAATTTGTAAAACTAGATCCCCGGTCCATCCCATTGATCAACATCTGAATTAGCCCTGTTCTGACAGAGGAGCAATTTCTGAGCAATCTGATCATTTTTGTTTTGCTTTGTTTAAGACATCATTCAAATATACGTATCCCTTCTATACACTGTTTATACTGTTCATTGCTCAGCTTGGTTTATCAGAGCTTCAATAACATTGGGTGATGGGTTTGATTATTCCTATTTTAGTTTTAATTTACACCATTACCAAGCCTCTCATTCTCCTCCAGTGGCCTAGCCCATGAACTCCTGGAAGCTGAAGAACTACTTATTGAACAGAAATAGAAGGTACAGCTGTGGGAAAGCTGCAGACGAATGCCGATTTCGTTTTTCTTTTTCAAGGCTCTCTGGGTTACCAAGGAAACTCAAGGAGAAATGATGGGAGGCTGCAAAACAATGGAGAACAAGGTGGGGAGGGGCGGGTCCCATTTGCATCCTGGGATCTCGCTGGTGCAACCTGACGGCAGGATTTTTTTTTTATTTACACAGCTGATGATTTTAAGCCACACTTTAAAGGATATTTTGAACATAATGTCTTTTTAAGGGGCATTAAAAAAAAAAAAACGGAAACACAAGGGCAGGATTTGGGGGTCCCTTGCGAGAAAGTTACCTGGGGGTCCTGCGGTTGGGTCTCCTGCTGCCTCTGGAGGAACTCCTCGGCCAGGGCCACCGCCTGGGAGCAGCTCTCGGGGCCGTGCTCCCGCACCCAGCGCTGGATCTCCGGGGGCAGGACGGCCAGCAGCTGCTCCAGCACCAGGGTCTCCAGGATCTGCTCCTTGGAGAGCCTCTCCACCTTCAGCCACTGGTGGCAAAGCGCCTGCAGCCGGCTGCACACTCCGCGCGGGCCCTCGGCCTCCTGGTAGCGGAAACGCCGGAAGTGCTGGCGCCACCGTTCCCTGGTCAGGGCGTCCCATCGCAAGATGATCGCCTTCACTTTCCCATAATCCTCCCGGTCCCTGGCCTCCAGGCTGCTGAAGGCCAGCTTGGCCTCTCCTCGGAGGGCGGGCACCAGCCGGGCTACCCATTCCTCCCTGGGCCACCAACAGGCCACCGCCACTTGCTCGAAGGAGGCCAGGAAGGCCGTGGCGTCGTCCCACGGGGTGGGCTCCTCGGGCAGCCGCGGGGCCCCCCAGCTGGAGGGAGGGGACTCCACCATCCGTAGGAACTCCTGCCACTGGGCCTCCCAGCATTGGGCCAGTCCTTCTCCTGGCTCCATCTTGACCGGACACAGGCTGGCTTTCCTATGGGAGACCCCCACGCACTCAGATCGCACTGCTTCGGGAGGCCGAGCTGCTCCCTCCACATCCATCTTGGATTTACAGTCTCCCAACCCCTGGAGAGCGTGAATTGCCTTCCTGCTTCCTCCTCTTTGCACGCGGCCCACAGGACCTCTCTTTTCCATGGTCATCTTTGGCCAGATTTTGCAAGATGGCGCTAGAAGAAGCGAGCGGGATCAAGATGGCTTCAACCTGAAATGGAAGGAAAGGAGATGCTCATTCAACTATTTCCCGCCGCGAAGGCAACCTGTGAGATAATCATATGCAAAATAGATGCATGCAGACATTCTGCAAGAAGGACAACAAAGCTGGGAAAGGGTGAGCCATTCCATTGGCTGGGCAGCACTAACTGGTGGTTGGCTCCGCCTCTTCCAAAACTGCCTTCTCATTGGTTCATCCATCTGAACAGATTAAGAGCCATTTTGGACCCACTCCATATTTCCCACTGTAACCAGGAAGATAAGCAGATGTTTGCAACACACAAAGATACCTGTTATTTCCCCCAGCCAAAGGCAATTCAGAGATATACTGCCTCTTACACTGGAGGATTTATATAAATCATCATAATTGTAGCTACTGCTGCTATTTTTATTATTATTCACCAGTAGATATTGTTGCACCAAACATAGTTTTCTTGACCGATGCTGTGCCCACCTTTTAGGCTGTCTTACTAATAATTATTCCAGTAGTAATGTATGGCTGTGAGAGCTGGACCATAAAGAAGGCTGC